TCTAAGCAAGCACCCTTTATTCTTAAGGCAAAAGGCATTACCCAGAAATTAAAAATCAATAAAAGTGCATATATTCACTTCAAAACTTTACCAAAGGTCTTCCATCAGTCTAACAGAGCTCTTCTCGTCAAAGTCTTTTCAATCCTTCTGCAAGAGTTAAGGCTCTAGGCTGCATTTGTTGGACCAGAAAGGTGGTCTTGAGTCAGTTTAAACGTAACCTGTTTAAGCCACCAAATACTCTCATTTTCCTGACTCCTGGAAACCCAGTTTGAACCAGTATATATATTCTCCTCTGCAGGGGCTGTACTAGGGATGTAAGCGACTAATCAACTATCCAATAAGCAAAAGCATATTGGATAGTCGACTAGCCCCTTGACTAGTCACTTTCTTCCTGCCTTGGGAAGCAGGGGGGAACAGGAGCCAATGCTGGGGGGGAGCCAGCTTAAAAGTCTGTTCCATGTAGCACCATCTCTGCAGGGGTAGCAGGCACCAGCTACGAATATCAGCTGATTCCCAGCTCACACCTAGTCCCAGACACATCTCTGCTTTTTAAATGTATTGAGACACATTTTAAAGCTAAAGCGCAGCAGGGGGAACCCCGCATGAGCCAAGACAGCTGATTCCCAGCTCAGGCAGGGTCCCCTCACTGTGCACAAACCTTTTTTTACAGCCTTTTAAATACAAAGGCTTGTGCACAGAAGGGGGGACCCTGCACAAATTGGGAATCAGCTGTCCCAGCTTGTGCTGGGTCCCTCCAGCTGCACTTTAGCCTTTTAAATGTATTAAGAGCTCCACTGCAGCTCCCCCGCTTATCGACTAGTTGATGGAAAATCCATCAACTAGTCGATTAGTTGATTAAATTTAACAACCCTAGTTTGTACCTCTTTAGAGGTGTTTAAGGTGAATAACTCATTGTAATCACAGTTTTCATTTCTGAAGGTGAAGCAAAATGCTATTCTACATTTCTGAAGGAGCATTGTAACTAGGGATGTTAAAAATTGTTTGTGTAAACATGTAACTGCTGACATTTTTACATGTTTGCACACAGGAGGGCAGGCAGGAGCTTTAAAGGTGGCTCCTGCTTGCGCCCACCCTGCTGCCTCTGATAGAGAAGCAGTGGGGGGGGAGGAGAAAGAGGGAGTCGGCTCTGTGGGAGCCGGTGCTTATGGAGAGCTGGCTTTTAAGCTGGCTCCCTTCTACCACCACTCCCCCTGCCACCATGCTGCTGCCTCTGTGGGAGGTGGGTAAGAGGAGCCCACTCTGTGGGAGCCAGCATGCATAGAGAGTCATCTTAAAAGCTGGCTCCCCTGAGCACCAGCTCCCACCTCTCCCACACTGCCTCTGATACAGAGGCAGAAAGCATGGGTGGGGAGGAAGGCTGCATATATCAGTTATGATTAACCAATGAGCCCGGACTCCGCAGTTAATTATGTACATGGACACATGCTAACATCCTTATTGGCAGGGCTCGACGATCGTGGCAAAAACTACGTGCCAGCCCCGCACTGCACATGCGCGAGACCCGCACTGCACATGCACTGCACATGCGCTAGTTCTTTCACAGTTTTATTTAGTATGTACCATGGTTAATGTAAGTTATTTAATTGGAAAAGATCCAATTGCAAGTAGTTACCTAAACCTGAGGAATGAACCCTGCTACTTCTGAAGACACCAGCAATTCCTTCCCTAACCTCAACAGAAACATGAGCAGAAACTAATGAACAAGGCCTTTTTAAAGACTGCTTAACAGGTATGAAGAGGTGATAAAATTAAAACATTATTTTTAACCTAAGTTATACTGCAACTTTAAAATGCAAACTTCAATTTGCTTTAGTTAACATACCTGAGCTATAATTATAATCACTGGTTTAAACTAAACTTTATTTCTCCTGATCATTCAAGTCATATGTATATATTAGGAATGTTGAGTATGGTTAATTGAATAACCTCATCAATTCTTATCTGTTAGCGGACTATTCTATAGTCCCTGGGGGCAGAGCAGGCAGCAGCACAGGGTTCCAGGCAGGAGCTCCTGCACAAGTGAAGCCAGTTTAAAAACCAGCTCCTCTTGTGGACCAGCTGCTTGTCACCTTGTGCTGCTGCCTCTGATAAAGTAGCCCCTGTCTGTGTGTAGAGGGAAGAGGGTGTCTGAGCTCCCAGGCCCAGCACAAACTGGAACTGAGCCAGGCTGCTCCTAATACACTTTAAATGCAGAGCCACAGTTGGGGTAGGCCCTGCACCCAGCATGAGTCAGGCTGCTGGCCAGCCTGTTAAAAAAATTACTGTGGGGATGAGGGAATGAGTATAGTCTAGCATTAATCTATAAGCTTCTGCTTATCAGTTAATCAACTACATTATTACATCCTAGTATATACTACACACTAAACTATACACAAAAAATCCTACACCTCACTTCCAAGTGTAAATTCAGACTTACATTGTTCACCAGAAGCAGCTGCTAAAATTGAGTTTAACATTTTCCCAGCATAAACACAGGTTAAGTACCCAAGTTTAATCAGTCTTGGGTAACTAGTATTGACTAAATTTTCTCTAATCTAGACAACTTTAGAACCATGCTGTAAGTGAAGTTTACAGCAGTTTATACATATTTATTTTAATAGTGTTTTACATTTCTAATTTAATTTACCATTGAGCTCTTCTTTCTCTCCTTATATACCACAGCAAGAAGCAGTAGCAAGTTTTGTAACAAATGGCCCTTTTCTTTATGAAAATTATGTTAATCATTCCAACAGCTGTAATTGTCAGCTGAGAATCTTCTCTTCCCTATGCTAATATCAATTTTCTACACAAAACCAAAGGAATGGGCCCCAATCTGCAGAAGAGATCATAATGATTTCAAGTTCACTGATATTTCCAAATACATTCATAATGTAAACAATAATCCAAGTATCTGTCCTGAAGGTCTTACTGGTAACATTTCTTTGACCAACTCTAACAAATTCTGTTCTAAACAGCTAGTATATTTTACTATATTATCTGAAGAGTTTATAATATGCCACAAAACTCTCAGACATCCAGCAAGTAGGTACAGTTTCAATTATTATTATACCCCAAATACAAAGATAAATACTGTTTTACCAAAGATATTGAAAACTATTAGAAGAATGCAGATAAATACTCAGAAACTGTAAAATTGCTCAGCTCCCTGTTTTTATGGCACATTTTCAGCTTCTAGACTTTTCTTTAAGTGAGATAAATGACTAAAAAAGATTTTGGTAAGAGTCACATGTAGAGCTGCTCTAAATAAAACAGTAGCAGAAGTTTGCAATTATTCTATACTGAAAACTAAGTACAAAATAATAGACTCGTAGCTGTCACAAGGGGGTTAGAAGATGGACAGATTTTAACCATACGAAATATCCTCACTGACTCATGTAGAAAGGCCACTACATGAACTATAATACTTCTGCTTTAAAGACATTTGTTCATAAGAATGGGCAAATAACTGTTCAATATCAACCACTCTAGGAACTTAAATATCAAATCAGTATTTAAATTTAATTCACAATTACTTAAACCATCCCCAAATTATCAAGACTCGTAACATATTAAGTTAAATAATGTAAATGTCAACTCAAGTGTGCATATGCACTTGTTTCATACAACTAAACTCCTCAAGTTGTGCCTTTTCAGTTGTTAGACATTACCAACTGATCCTTACTAGACACTGCAGTTAGGTAGTGCTTACATTTTACATGCATTACCAAGCAAGAAAGAGTGGGTTTGAGCACTCACCTGGAACTCCGTAAACCCAGGTTTAATAACTTGCTATCCTACAAACTTCCAATGTGACCTTGGGTGAATCACTAAATCTCTTTATGCCTCAAACCCCATTTCTAAAGTGGGAATAATAATTCTTCCTTTCATTTCAGAACTGTTAAAAGGATATACACTTTAAAGGATATAGTGTAAGATGCTCACATATTGTAGTAATTGGAAGAGAGGGTTCATATGTACCCAAGATAAATAGATAACATCTCAATAGAACTTCCAGATTAGTTATGTTTATATTTATATATATTAAACATGACACTTGCTCAGTTGGTGATGCAAATTATCAGAAGGAATCACATAGTACCAAGAAGTCAAGACAGCAATTACATATATTTAAATGGGGATTGTTTGCCAACTATTAGACCTGCATCATCAAATATTCACAGGTTGGGAGCCATATTTGGAATTAGTACTTCTCTCACAAAGAAAGCTTTTATAATATGTCATAATTAGAATTATCAAATCTCAGCCTTTAAAGTACTCAGTTCACTCCACTAGGCCTATCTAGAGATGGTCATTTAAAACATCAGACCTCTAATTTTTCATTTTGAATGTGAAATATTTCTTCCTGACCAAAATAAAACTAAAACCCCACCCTATGAGAGATTTGGCAGCCCCGTGCTAATACCATACACCCTGCAGAGAGTGTCCTATAGTCTTCAGCCTATAATAGCCGGTTACATTACCGAACCTACTGCCTCCAGCCAAAGAAGGGACTATACAAGGAACATACTTTAGCCGGTGAGTTAAAAATTAAACTAGTTTTTAAATGTATTTCTGGGATTACAGGACACGGTTGCCAGCCACAGCAAGGGTCTGCACTCCACGACCCAAGAAGTCCCTTTCCAGTCATATGGCCTTTAAGTAGCCCCCAACACTAGTCCCTTTCAGGGATCTCCCCTCACACCTCTACCTGAGGCCTGAAATCCTGTTCCCCACAGCCCGGCACCATGCACATCCCCTTGTTCTGCGAGCAGGCACAGTTCTCGGCCACAAAGCGCCTCCGGTTGGGAAGGCCCCACAACCGTGTGGGCACCCTCCACCCCCGCAGAAGGGTGCAAAGCCCGCTCGCTGGCCTGGCGTCCGGCTCCCCCGGCCCTCGCAGGTAGCTTCCCGGCCCACACTGCAACCAAGCAGGTCCCCCCGGCACGCCCCCCGTGCTCCGAGCAGCTCTGGCCTCTCCCGCCCCGCGGCTGCCCCGGTACCTTGCGGACCCCCTTGTAGATGTAGAAGTAGAGCTCCCGGCCCACATTGAAGCAGAGCCGGTCGCCGTTGCCGCTCTGGTCGTTGACGTTGACGAAGGAGACGCGGACCGGGTTAGAGCCCTGGGAGTTGAAGGGCACCCGGTTGGGCCGGCTGTACTCCGAGTGGCTCAGCAGCTTGTACAGCCCCTCCCGGGTAGTGAACTGGGTCTTAATCTCGTTCATCTCCTTCCCTCCTCCCTCCGCCGCCATCTTGGAAAGGAGCATTCATCCTGCCCCAGTGCCCGGATGTGCCCCCACGGCGCAGGCGCAGCCGCTCAGTCGCTGTACCCCAGGCTCGACGCGCAAAAGCCGTAAAGGGGAGGAGCGAGTCCGTCTGTTTACTGCGCTTCTGCGCATGTGCCAGCTGGCCTGAAACCTGGGCGGCCCCTCGTGGGGGAGAGGGGAGGAGCCTTCTCTTGGGAGAGGCAGGGCGGGGCGGGCCTTCAGGCGAGCGAGCGGGGCTCGCCCACGGAGAGCTGCTATTGGTTGTCAGCGCAGGAGCCGGCTGTCAGACCTCTGGCGAGGAGGGCAGTGTCTGAAGGAGGGGAAGTGGTGCTGTGGACAGATGGGGGAGGGCTTAGGTACTGGCATGAAGGGTGCGGGGTGTGCTGTGGCACCCCCTCGCTTTAAGTGGTTCCCATTATATCCAGGGCTTACAGTATGGTTCAATGGCTCTCAGCACCTCCACCAGCGTCCCTGCCCACAAGCAGGGTTTAATGCCTTGGGCTTGGGACTCCAAAGGGTGATTTAGTTCTGGGGCAGGGTTTTAACAGAGCATCCTGCAGCATTCTGAGGTGCTGGATAACTTACCACTGTGCACCATGTTTGTTCCTATCTTAGAAAATTGTCAGCTGTGAGAGTCAGGAATACTCTTGGGATTCTTGCTTGCTGTGACCCTGGACAATTACTTCATCTCTCTGTGCCCACATTCACCTCCTATGATTGTTCTCACTAATTTACAGGGCAACATTAGGCATCATTACTGAATAAATGTACACCTATCAATAGGCATCTAATCAAATATAAACCAAATGGCCCAGTTCTCATGTGCCCTTTGTTGCCACTCCAGCAGCACATAGAAAGAAAGGTGCCTTACGTTGGGCAGAAATGGCCACAGGGGAAATTTGCAGCCAGCAAGAGGATAATAGAGTGTTTCTGTGCCAGCTGCTCTCCCAGTCCTGGTTTGTCTTAGCATATCCTGGGTTATGGAGCCACCTGAATTTAGTTCCTGGCATAAATTAGAGCAGTGCCAGATTATGTTTTAATGTTCACTTTTGCAACAGCCTTAAATAGCTGGGTTTCAGTATGCTCCAATCATGACTCCTCCTACCATTGACACTCCCTCTCTTCATCCTGAATATGTATGCATTGGTCTGCAAAGAAGGGCATTTTTGGATCCTATGCCACTAGAGTAAACCCCCTTATGCTGAGGGACCCTCCAGTGTCTGATTCTCCCAGCCTCATGGCACCTCTCTGCTGGCAAAGCCCAGATTCAGGGCTTGGTATTGCAAACATGCAGAAATGCTATGTGCAGAAATAAACTGAAAGAATCAAGGCCAAAAATTCCAAATAGAAATACCACCATCTTAAATACACAGTGAACGCAAACTGATAAGTCAAATGCTTTGAGATTCTCAAATGAAAGGCACTGTAGAAAGATATAGGATTATTATTTTAGATGCATGATAAAGTCGAACATATAACAAACAATGAGGTTATTTTTGTGAATTAGGGGATATCTTTTTTAAAACACTCCAAATGGGTTGTAAAATTTTGCAGTCTTCAAAATGGAAAGTGGATTGGTTGATAAGGTATTGCTAAGGTAGCATCCTTTTTCACAGTGCTCCCAGTGCTACTAAAGCATCTGAATTGCTACTCTCATTACCCTTTTTTAATAATAGGATTGTGCTGATCTTGCCCTTACATGTTAGCTCTGCTTGTACTGTAGGTTTGGAAACAACACTGTTGTGAGGTATAAGTGATTAATAACACCTTCTGAAATGGCATATAGGAAAAGCAATCTTTTCATGCAGTTTGGCAAGAAAGCTAAACTTGTAAGCATTCAAAGTGTTTATTATCTTTTATTGTTAAATTACAGAGGTAGCAAGTTACAACTGAAACCTGCCAAAGCAAAAAAATTAACATCTTAAAAGAAATCATTCTCTAGGAAACATTTTACAAAATTATCTTTATTGGACTCAGATTCCCCAACTATTGACATAAAAAAAATTGGTTGCCTATTGCTTGTAATGGTTGTTCTTCGAGATATGTTGCTCATGTCCATTCCAAGGTGTGTGTGTTATTGCATGCTGAATGTATAATCATCAGAAGGTTTTCCCTACTGATACCCATCGGATTGGCTGTGGAACTCCCTAGAGTGGTGCCCTTATTGTGGTACATATAGGTTTCTGCCTATGCGTCATCTGGTCAGTTCCTTCTTGCTGGAAGACTCTGATAGAAGAGTTGTTCAGTATTGATTCATTGTTACTGACTATAGTGTTTCACCTGTTGTGTTTTTACAATATATATATTTCTGTTAAATTTGAAAGTGAGTCTGTGTTTATTGGAATCTGTAAAATCGACCGGTGATTAGATATGGCAGGTTCCAGGACGAACCCTCTTCTGAGACAAAAGCATTATATCACCATTCCAGATCAGGCCCTATATTTAATAAATTCTATTCTGTTAGTGTGCCTTTGCTAACAGGAGGGTTTTGTGCTTCCCAGTAAAACTTCCCTAACCAAGTCTGAACACCGCAGCTCAATCTGGTTCAGCCATGGAGTTTCCATGCCATGAGGTGGAGGGACTCCAGATTGGGGTGTTCTAGTTGGCTGTGGTCCTCAGTGATGAGATCCGGGAGCACAGGGAAAGTCATCGGCCTGTCCCTCCCTTATTGGGTGAGGAAAAGTATAATACTTGGGGTGGGATTGGGTCCTCCTGTTCTTCTGGTTCTCTGGTGTCTTTTTGGAGTGCCTCATGCCCTTGGATCCTGAGAGACCGATGTAGCCGATTATGTCCTGTGGGTTACTGAGGCCACCGAAGCAACCCTCAAGCCCAGCCCCTGTGCCTACAGGGGCCAGAAGGGCTACTGCACTGGCCCCTGCTACTGCCCATGAGACCTGTAGCATTGGCTGAGTTGCAGAGCTTGAAGAATGGTGCTGGGATCTAGAATAGTACCAGCTTCATCTGGAGGCACAGGATTCTGCCTAAGACTCTGAAGCGTAATACGACGCCGACCAGAGTGCAGCAGATCCTGGCGGTGCCGGACAGAGGACTGGTGGCTTATTGTCATGGGCTTTCCCCAGTGCCTAATCGGGGACGGTTTGGTGCCGTAGAAGAGGCTAACAGCAGTGCTCCAACCACTGATGTCACTGTTGGTGCCACAGTAGCTGGTGACCCCACTGGTGCCGTGGTATGCACTAAAGTAGCCTGTGGTGCCGGGGCATGTGGTAGTGGGCCCTGGTATTGAGCCGTCATGGCTATTGGATCCTGTGCCGCTTGAAATTAGTTCAACATTAAGGGAAGATCCAGGTCCTCTCCCAACAAGTCCTCCAGCACTGAAGAGTCCATTCACACGGACTCGGTGACCCTCTGGAGGTGGCCGGAGCTGACAGTCGTGGGACTTGCTGGTGAGGTTTGGAGTTTCCCAAAAGAGGTGCTGGGATCGGTGCTGGTGGTGCTTACCAAAGTCCTTCCTTGTCTCTCGGTGCTGAGGAATGGCGTAGCAATGCCAGTGCGCTGCCCACCTGGAAAGGGTATTAGTGGAAAGGGTGGGAACATGTACAATAAAGACCTCTTTGTGCTTTGCCACATCAATGACAAAGGGTCCCTGCTGAGGGGGCATGAAAAGATGTTTGTAATCTTTCTGTGGCATGAAATACTTCTTCTCTGCCCCATTAGCTATGGGCAATATGGAGGCTGGGGTCTGCCATAGCCCCTTTGTGGTGGTTTGAATAGGCTTTACATGAGTCAAGTCTACCCTGGAAAGACCTTCTGGAGCAAGAATGTCCACCATCAGGTCTGAGTCTTCTGTTATGTCATGTCCACCACTTGGAGGTGTACATTTTGGCTCACTCTTCTGAGAAGGTCTTGGTGTACCCTATTGTCCATCACCAGGAGTATGGTGGTACAGGTATCAGCCACTGCTGCATTCAGTGATGAGGATGAGGAGGCTCTGGAACCCTTCAATGTTTGAGGTCCCAGCATATAGTGCTCTTAGGGATAGATCTCTAATGGAGAACTTGGCTTGGCTTCTAGCACTTCTGGATGGGGAACCTTAATGGAATCCTTCAGGGAAGCCAGTTCATGGAGGAGTACACTACGTTTACCACTCTGAAAGAGGAGTAGACCAGGGGTAAGAAGGTCAGGAAGCTGCACATGTTTTGCAAAGCTGGTTCAGTATTATGAACTAAAAACAGTTAAGAGGAAAGCTATAATAGGAAAAGATAGGACTGCCTATGTATAGGGCCCTACCAAATTTACTGCCACAGAAAAAAACATCACAGACCATGAAACCTGGTCTTTCCCATGAAATCAAGTGTTGTGTGCTATTACCCTCTGTTATACAGATTTAATGAGGGGAGATCAGTATTTCTCAAATTGGGAGTTCTGATCCAGAAGGGAGAAGCAGGAGCATTTTATTTTAGGGGCAGATCACAATATTCCCACCCACACTTCTGCGCTGACTTTGGAATTAAGTGGCTAGAGAGTGGTGGCTGCTGAAGTAAAGGTGGCAGTATGATCCCATCCCATCCTTACTTCTACATTGCCACTGGTGGCAGCTCTGCATTCACTGCTGGGCTCCCAGCCAGCAAGTGCCATGCTCCAGCTGATCAGCTCTGAAGGCAGTGCTTTCAACAGCAGCAGTGCAGAATGGTAGCAGAACTATGATCCACTTGCAACATCTCCCCGTCGGCTGACACACACACAACTCTTTTTCTTGGTTATGACTCGTACAATTACTACACTGTAAAATTTCAATTATAAATAGCTGAAATCATGAAATTGACAATTTAAAAAAATTCTATGATCATGAAATTGACCAAAATGGACTGGTATTTCTCTACCTATGTACTGTATGAAGAATAGAAACCATACACACTTGAACAACCATATAAACTGAGCCATTAGCTATCATCGTTGAAAAGTCATGGAAGATGGGAGAGATTCCAGAAGACTGGAAAAAGGACAAATATAGTGCTCATCTATAAAAAGGGAAATAAAGACAACCCAGGAAACTATTGACCAGCCAGTTTAACTTCTG